TTCTTCACTGGATTAATTTTAGAAATAAGATGGTTTCTTCTGCATCCAGAATGGGTGATTACCAGGAAGAGAGTGGGTGAGGGAGCCCACTTCCCGGGCAGGTGTCTTGGCGTGCAGACCTGGCATAGTAATGCTCAGATTATGGACATTACTGGATTTTATGGGAGTGATTATGGCAGTAGGCCTTGGAGCGTTTTGGTGTTTTCCTGTTTAATGGAGAGCCCGGCGGCGATGCTAGGCGACCTGAGAGCCTGCCTGCCGTGTCCTTCCCGCTGGGTGGCCCCCCTCAGCCTCTCCTCTGCAGCCCTGGAGCAGGGGCTGGCTTCTCTTGGCCCCACCGCCGACCCTGTGCCGAGAGGGGGACATGGGGGCGGGGAGCAGGGCCCCTGGCCTGGCCCACGCTCACTCAGCGGCAGTTCCTTCCTCTCCTCACGGGACTTCCAGCTTGTTTTCTCTGCTTGCCTGGGTTTGGGCCCGCTCGCTGTGAGGTGCTTGTCCCCAGAGTTTACACCCTGCTCCTCTTGGGCTCCTCCTGCCTTGGCCGTCTGAGTGTCACGTGTCCGGCGGTCGCTGTCCACAGCCGATTTCCCCGTCCTCCCCGCTCATCTTCCTCAGCTCCTTACTAGGTGGGGGCGTGTGGACTTCTCCCAGCACGGCCGCCGTCCGCTCCTTTCTGCCACACCTCTCCCAGGCCCGGCCCCTCAGCTCCTCGGAGTCTGTTCAGACGCCTCCCCAGCTCCGCCCAGCCTCACCCACTGGGGAACTGTCCGTCATGCCACCGCCTCTGGTCGAGTTTAAGAGCTTCTTGTCTGGGGACAGTTGTCACAGGCCCCGGAGCAGTCTCTCTCCACCCTCACTGTTCTCTGACTCCTGATGGGGGATTCTGCTTGGTTCTGTGACTTCCCTTTTCAGATATCTTCGGTGCCACCACTGTTTGCAGCAGCATTGCTGTAGTTTGAGCCACAAATTCAATTTAAAATTCTCCAATAGCCACAGTAGATCATTTAAAAACTAGGTGAAGTTGATATTTTATCTAATACATCCAAATATTATTTTAGCAGCTAATCAGTATAAAATTATAAACGAGGTGGTCTCCATAGTTTTCCAGGTCTTCCGAGTACAGGGTGAACTGTGCCCTGCAGCCTGTCTCACTCTGGGCCAGTCACTCTCAAGGGTTCTGGGCTTCAAGGTCATAGCCCAGAGCCCTTAGCCTGGGACTCCGTGTCCTTGAGTCCTGGCTAACGATTCCATATCTGACTTCCAGCCCTTCTCGGGTGCACCAGTGCAGAAGGGTGCCACGCATGGCCCCGAGCTGCCTGTGCCCAGCCTGGGCGCCTGCCTCTCCCCGGCCGCCTCACGCACCCTCTGCCCAGCAGCTCCTCACGGGGACCTCGGGTTTTGCCAAGAGTGTTTTTCCAACATAAACATGTGCTCGTCCAGCTCAAGGCCTCATTGAAACTGGAGAATTGAAGCACAGCAGGGAAATCCCATTCCTTAACTTTGAGAACTAAGATGCCTTACCCTGTTTACTAGACATTTTCTAGAATAAAAGTACACCCTTAGGGTTCTGAGACTGGGATCCTTTCATTATAGTTATTGAACAGGGCGTTCTAGGTATTTGTTTCTTGATTTCTGTTCCTTTTGTTAAACCCAAACCAAGAACAGTATGAAATAATAGCCCAGAGCAGCTTGGTTCAGTGACTCCTAGCCAGCCCAGGACGCGTGTCCGGCACCTCACCTGGGGCTGCCCCTGGCCTGGCCTGACGATCGGGGCTGAGAGGCCTGTGCCAGGAGTCGCCTGGCGGGTCTCCAGGACGACAGTGTGTGGTTCGCTCCCTGTCCGCACCCTTGCTGCCCTCCTGTGAGGACGCCCTGCTGCCGCCTGCAGCCGCTGTCGCTGCCCTTTCCTTCTCAGCTTGGCGAGCTCCCAGGCCAGGGCAGAGGCCCCCCAGGCACTCCTGTGGAGCTGAGTCCTTCCCTCCCCATGCCTGCTCGGTGTCCGCTCACAGCAGACCCTGTCCATTCCCCTCCTTTTCATCCCTCGTGAACACGAGTTCCCGCGGGAAGGGACGGCTGTCGGTGGCGAGCAGTGTCAGCTTGTCGTCTGTGCTCAGTGCAGGAGTGAATGGGTGGGAGTGGGTGGTGAACAGGAGGGCCTGCAGGAGCCTCGCAGAGCCTGTCCCCCAGGGGGGTGGCAGGGCACTCAAGCCTGCCTTCCTGTGGGCAGCGGGATACCCGCACCCTGCTGGTGGGAGTAGGCATTGCCGCGTCCTCGCTGGGAGGGAACCTGGCGAGCCCTGTGAACAGTCACCAGCGCGTGTGCCTTCTGACCCAGCCGTTCCCCTGGGACTGGACCCTGCAGGTGTGTGTGTGCGGGTGGACGCCAGCGCACGCACTGTTAGTCTTTGCCACGTAAGTGTCCGTCAGCGGGGGCTTTTCAGCTCCAGCTCAGCGCATCCGTGTCGTGAGTCCTCTGCACTGTAGGAAGGAACGAGGAGGCTGTCTTCGGACGAGTGCCGACGGATGCGCGTGATGCGTGGCTGGGTGAGAAAGCAGAGGTGCAAATGGTGCAGAAGAGGAAGCTGGGTCCACATGTACCTGTACTTGCCTTGTCCAGACAGGAAGACCCTGGGAGACAGACAGGAAGTCAGCAACAGTGATTCTGGGGTGGAGAGACTGGTGTGAGTGAGGCTTTCGGCTGGACACTTTTATATGTGAATTATGACTGTGTCACCTATTTAAAAAACAAAAGCTTATGTCGCGGGGTCATCCTGAGAACGAAAGAGCGTGTGTGCAGAGCGTCGTGCTCAGGGCCTGGCCACCGAGCAGATCCTCGGGTCAGAGGTCAGCACCGCCGTCCCGACGGGCCCACCATGCGCCCAGACCCACATGCCCCGAGACGAAGAGGACCTTGTCCCCGCGTTTGCACTCAGGCTGGTGGCAGGCTGAAGGGGCAGAGCACGGGAGAAGCCCTTTCCACAGTGGAGTTGGAGCTGTGAGCCGTTGATTTGGTTGGTTTGCAGGTGGTGAGGTGTGACGTGTCTGGTGCCCCAGCAGGGCGCGGAGGTGGGCTCAGGTTTCAGCCCCTAAGTTATATCCGCGTGTGTACTTACAGCAGTCTCAGTGCTCCTTTTAAACATGGAATACTCTTTAAATGTATTTTGGCACTCCAGTAACATGTATTTTAATAACAGTGCCATGATTCTTTATCTCCGTACCTCACAGTTGCAGAGAAATGCCATTTTTATTTGATAGCATTACAATTTTGAGTTCTAATGGAGTCATTTTTGCTGTGTCTTTTTGAGCCAAAAAATAAAATTTTCTCCTAACCATAGTGCTAGATATTCTTGTGTCCGTCCTTAAATGGAGAAATCTTGGAAAGGTTGAGCTGAGGCTTGGTTGTGGTGAGATATGAGGTGCAGGAGTTGAGGCCACACGCAGCTGGGTGGGGAGGGGGCAGCAGCCTGGCTCCCAGCTCGGGTCGCTTCTGTAGCTGCCCCGCGAGGCCCTGGCTGGGAGGTGAGCCTCACGGCCCTGGGACCCTCGGCCCACAGGCGGGTCACAGTTTGAGAGGCAGCCTGGGCCCGCTGGGTACAGCAAAGCCTGGGGGCTTGTAAGGTGCCCCCGACCTCCGTGGAAACCCTGGCAGAGCAGCCTGGGCTTGCAGGTGGTTTGCGCTGGCGCAGATCAGCTGCTGTATCGGTGGGTCCCGGGCCGGAGAGGAAGGACGCGAGGGTGGCCGTGTGGCTGTGAAATCGCAGAGCTGGTGATGCCTCCTGCTGCTTGTAACCCTCGCCCAGCGCGCTGTCCCTAGCCCCTGGCCCTTGCACCTCACGGGGTCAGGGCTCCCCACTCCTCCCTAGCCGGGGACAGGTTGACCACCTCCCTTCTGGGGCCTCATTTTCTGTGACTCTCTGTAGAGATGCAGCAGACGCACGGTGCAGAGCAGACCAGAGAGGAGGCCTTGTGTCTCGGCAAGCTTCCCGTCCCTCTGGTCTGTGGCCCCCTGAGGCTCAAATCGGGGAATCCCAACCACACAGGGGAAGTGGGAGCATAATCGCCCCCCCAAGCCCGAGGGCTCCCAAGGCACCAGGTATGGAGGTGGCAGCAGGGCCTGCAGAGAACTTGGGGATCCTGGGAACTCCCAGTGGTTTCTGGTGCTGTGATTTGGGGGCCGGTGAGGGGCACATAGGTGGGGGTCATCCTTTGAGGAGTTTTTGCTTTTGCCTGTTATTCTTTTAGTTTTAAAGGCAAGATTCCTGATCTGTGCCTGTTAAAGCCTGGTCAGTGGATCAAAAATAAGCGTGGGGTATAGTGGCAGTGATTAGGTGTTAGTCATCTGTTCTTAAACACCGCCTTGTTCCAAAGAAGGTGGAGGGATGGCCTATAAGGATACACACAAGACATGGATGGTGAGTGAGGCAGTCAGTGAATCAGGGCTGAGGTCAGAGCCCAGGGAGGTGTGCGTTCCTGTCCTGGGTGTTGCTGGCTGCACATGGAGTCTGAATGGGTGGGTGCAGTGAAGATGGGCCCCAGGGGCCGTGAGGGCACGATGCAGCAGAGTGGCACGCCTGGGGAGGCCCAGTGCTCAGCCGGGGGGCCTGAGAGGCTTGCCTGGGGGCTGCGTAGCAGGGATGCTGTGCAGGTGCTGGAGTCCCAGACCCCGGGCTCCTGGAGTCAGACGTGCGACATGCCCAGGGCTGCCCTCCCCGGCGCCTCCTGCGCCTGGCCCAGTGTCACGCGGGCACAGACTAGGCTCCCAGCAGGAGTGTCGACTGACACCCTCAGCACAAGCCAGTGTCCCGACACCTCCGTGCAGTCCTAGAAGGCGATTCCACAAGGGGCCAAGTGCCCTTCGCTGGCCTGCCCACGGCCTGGGGCGTGGAATGCCTGGACGGACGTGTCCCCTTCTCACCGAGAAGCAGACAAGGTTTCTTGCTGGAAACGTAGACCTTGAAAACTTCTCCATTGTGATAACTTGTTCTCCTTTGTCTTCACAGAGACTAATAGACAAGTCACGAGTAACCTGTGTCAAATGGGTTCCTGGTTCGGAAAGCCTTTTCCTAGTAGCCCACTCGAGTGGGAACATGTACTTGTATAATGTGGAGCACACTTGTGGCACCACAGCCCCCCACTACCAGCTCCTGAAGCAGGGGGAGAGCTTTGCCGTGCACACTTGCAAGAGCAAATCCACGAGGAACCCTCTCCTCAAATGGACGGTGGGCGAGGGGGCCCTCAACGAGTTTGCTTTCTCCCCAGATGGCAAGTTCTTGGCGTGTGTGAGCCAGGACGGCTTCCTGCGGGTGTTCAACTTTGACTCGGTGGAGCTGCACGGCACCATGAAAAGCTACTTTGGAGGCTTGCTGTGCGTGTGCTGGAGCCCCGACGGCAAGTACATCGTGACGGGCGGAGAGGACGACCTGGTGACCGTCTGGTCCTTTGGAGACTGCCGTGTGATCGCGCGGGGCCACGGGCACAAGTCCTGGGTCAGCGTGGTGGCCTTTGACCCCTACACCACCAGCGTGGAAGAGAGCGACCCCATGGAGTTCAGCGGCAGTGATGAGGACTTCCAGGACCTTCTTCACTTCGGGAGAGACCGAGCAAACAGCACCCAGTCCCGGCTGTCCAAGCGGAACTCGACCGAGAGCCGGCCCGTCAGCGTCACGTATCGGTTCGGCTCCGTGGGCCAGGACACACAGCTGTGCCTGTGGGACCTCACGGAAGACATCCTCTTCCCCCACCAGCCCCTCTCGCGTGCGCGGACACACACGAACGTCATGAACGCCACCAGCCCCCCTGCGGGCAGCACCGGGAACAGCGTGCCCACGCCGGGCAGCGCCGCGCCCCCCCCGCTGCCGCGGTCCAACAGCCTCCCGCACGCCGCCGTCTCCAGCGCTGGCAGCAAGGGCAGCGTGGCGGATGGCGCCATCGCCGCCGGGGTCAGCAAGTTCGCCACGCTCTCGCTGCACGACCGGAAGGACAGGCACCACGAGAAGGACCACAAGCGGAACCACAGCATGGGACACATCTCCAGCAAGAGCAGCGACAAGCTGAACCTCGTCACTAAGAGCAGGGCGGACCCCGCCAAGACGCTGGGGACGCCCCTGTGCCCCCGCATGGAAGACGTGCCCTTGTTGGAGCCGCTCGTCTGTAAAAAGATAGCACATGAGAGGCTGACTGTGCTAGTTTTCCTTGCAGACTGTGTCGTCACCGCGTGCCAGGAAGGGTTCGTCTGCACGTGGGGAAGGCCTGGTGAAGCGGCGAGCTCCAACCCTTAGTGCCGCGCCGGCCTGGGGCCTGAACAGGCCGCGACTTCGTCTTGCGGGAGGGGTGGGCCGTACAACGGATGTGAATGACACTTCTTATCCTTAATGTAAATCTAAATGCATCAGAGCCATAATTTTGGATACTGCATGCCATATAATTCCAAATCATTTGATAATTCACCTTAGAACGTTTAAAAAATATAATCAAACTAATTGCCAGCCAAGTCAGTCACCCTCCTGCGAGTATAGAGTCCCACGGTTAGCCTTCCTGTATTAGACTATTTCGATTTTAGGAAAATCATGCCAGTGTGGGGAAACAATGACTTTAAAATGCTAAAATTAAAATTTCTGCTTTAACTGGAATATTTTTGCTTAACTACTCAATTAGAATATTGTACACCTGATCAGCGTGTATGTTCAACACAGACGGCCATTAATTGTCATTTATAGTCCAATTTTTTACCTTAATCATAAACTGTTTAGGAATCTATGAAATTTAACTTTAGGAACAAAGTGTTCAGCAGGGTTGATTGATATTATTTTTACATTGTTCTGGCAATCCACAGAAAGAGAAGAGCCTTAATTTTTAAAACCCATTTTAGTCATTTTATGACAATTAAAATTGTTTAATAAACATCTTTTTTCAAAGAAGCAGTTTGTAGCGCTTTGATTGAGATTCTGTGCACTGACGAAGAGCCCACGTTTCCCAGAGCCTGGGCGGCCGCCGTGGACTACAGGCCGAGACCACCAGCCGCGCCGTCAGAAGCGCCTCTCGCCACACAGCCAGGGTCTCACGTGGCGGGTGTGATTTGCTTATGTTTTCTCCAGCCAGGGGAAGGAGATTTTCTTTCTTTATTTTTGTGGGGGTGTTGGTTGGGTTTTTTGGTTTGCTTTCTGGTCAGCAAGGCACGTGACCACAGGCCCTCGTGAGCTGCCTCAGCTGTTTTGTACAGGCCCCAGGGTTCAGAGAGCTTCCCGCGTCTCCCCCGTTTGGGTTTCAGGTTCCCACCAGAGGCAAAGGGCAGGTGCAGCGTGTCCATCTTCCGGATCGTTCTTGGAAGGCGCCCCACGTCTGTGTCAGCGGCTCCCCCAGGGAGGCCCCCTCCCCAACTTGGCTGCACCCACTTCCAGGGACGGCCGCTCTGTCTGACCTGATTCCTCAGCACGGGAATGAGCTGTAGGCGCAGTCGCTTTTTGGTTCACTGTGGACGCGGTGGCTCTTGGAGCTGTATGTTTCATGTCAAGATAATGATGGTCTTAGTAACTTACTTTGGTCACTTGGGCTTGTATTTCTGTTGTGTACACCTTTGTAATTAAATACAGAGATCCTGGTCATTTATGCTGGTTTGAGTAGTGAATCTGATGCAGCGAAATGGACGCTTGGTTTCTCTGCAGCTCGAGACCCTGGTTGACGCAGCAGCAGCCCTGGGCCCCCTGGGTCCCCACCAGTCCCTGCTGCACGCGGTCAGGGCTGGCGCCCCTCACTGTTCGCGGCGGTGTCTGTGACCCGTGACGGTGGAGGCGGTGTTCTCCTGTGTGAGAATTGCGGTCCATGAAAAGCTAAGGTCCTGTCTGCCTTTATAGATAGTCCTTTGTTCCTAAATGCTAACTGAAGTCAGGTAGCAAAGGCAGCCATCCTTGCGGAGCGTTTCAGCTTCGAGGCTGTCAGATGGAGAGGGAAGCCAACACCCCATGTGCAGTTCTGTGTGCCTGGCAGTATTCCAAGTTCGGGCCAGAGGCTTGTGTACCTGCATCGTATCACAAGTTCAGTGTCAAAGGCTTCTGAGGCATTGAGTATGCGGTTTCAAAATTCAGGACTTGATACTGGGCCCAAGTGAAGAGTGGCTGACGCAGGTAAGTGGCCTTTGTGGAGGCAGGGAGAGTGCATCTCGCATACTGTCGGTTCTGAGCGCTTTGCAGGCGGGCCCATGTCGCCAAAGCTCTTGCGCTGCGTCGCTTTCTGGCTCCTCCCGCCCTTCGTTGTCTGCTGGGTGCTCACCTGGGGCGGTCTGTGGATGGGAGCAGGGTAGCAGGGGCGAGACAAGGGTGTTGTTGGTTGCTTAAAAAACAAGCTGTGAAACGTGCTGCTGGAAGCCTGTGTCCGTCTCCTCCACCCCAAATTTAAAAAGCATTGTCCCTGCACAGGTTGGGGTTGGGGACTTGGTCAGAGACTCGCTCTTGCAGTGTCTGCGGGTGAGTGTGCCCTTGATGTCTGTCTGTACTCTGTCCGGGGCCCCGGCTGGGTTTCGGGAGCTGGGGAGGGGCTGGAAGGCCCAGGCTGGCTCTGGACGGGGCAGGGTCCCTCCAAGGCCCGCCCTGTGCCTGAACGTCTGGAAGAACCCTGCTGCTGTCAGGAGGACGGTGCCGGGGGCTCTCCGAGACCAGGACGAAAGTTGCTGGCACTTCAGGGAGGCTGGGGGCACGCAGCACCTCTCCCTTGCCCCCGGGTTTGTTTTCAGGGTCCTGGCTCGTGTGGCCTGGGGTCAGGACGGGTTGCTTCGACTCTGAGGGGTTCCAATTGCAGGTGTATAAGGAGCAGTGGCCTGCTGAGGGGGTTCTAGGGAGTGGCCTTTGCAATTTTTCTCCCCAAACTTTGAGCTTCCTCACTGAAACTCTTCCATGTTTCAGCTTAAACATTATCCTGAGCAAAAATATCTTTTCTAACCTCACCTCTGGAATAAAACAGCTTTAGACAGAACCTGTGACGGCTCAGTCGGCATGATTTTCCATCACGCGCTGAGACGTGGCGATGAAAAAGCGCAGAAATGAGGCGCCCAGGGCGGCCCGTGAGCCACGGCCCCCACGGCGGGGGTCTCCTCTGCCTGCCCTGCTTGGGCTCCTCTTTCCAACCTTGCAGGGCTCCCGGAAGCTAGCGTCGCGTTGTGGCTTGGGTGATTCTGGCTTCTGAACCCCCGGGCCTCCCCAGCCCCGGCCCTTCTCTGCGTTTCTCCTCCCTAGGAGAGGAAAGCCTTGGGAAAACCTTGCCTTCTTTTAAAAGCAAATGTGTAAGAGGGAGTAGGCAGACTCTAAAAATAATCAGGAGCTTTGGGTTCTAAATTGACTCGCATCGTGGTGAAGAATCTTAATTTCATCTCTGTGCCGGACCTTCTGGCACTTTGGAAGTGTTCTCCTATGAGCCCTTGACTTGGAACTGAGGATAAAACCTTAACGGAAGAACATTTGAGGAGTGGAAACACGGGAATAAGGCACCACAGTGACGTTGTCCCGGACTCCCAGGAGCAAGGAGGAACAGAGTGCTGCGAAGCCTCCTCCGTTCTTTGGGCGCACGTGCATCCTCGGCGTTCTGGCCCCTCCACTTCCCGTGGGAAAGAAACCGTCAAGTATTGCGTTCGTGCTGGAGATGGGGAAGCTGTTTTATTGATGTCCGCACTGGTGGACGAGGTTCTCATCACCTCCTGTCAGAGGGAGGCCTTTGATTTCTTGGTGCAGAAGCTCAAAGTGTAAGGGGACGCCAAGGGGCTGGTGGAGGGCTCTGGGAAAGGAGGCCTGTGAACACCCAAAGGCCATGTGGGTGGATCCGAGTGTCTGAGGAGGAGCTGGTGGGAGAGGTCGACTGGAGTTCCCAGGAAGGATGCACGTGGGGTTCCATCCTGTGCAGGGGGCCTGGCCGAGGGGGACTGGCCGCGGGCCCCTGGATAGATCATGGGGGGAGCCCGGCCGCTGGCCCCTGGATAGAATATGGGGGAAGCCCGGCCGCTGGCCCCTGGATATTGGGGGGAGCCCGGCCGCTGGCCCCTGGATAGATCATGGTGGGGGGGCCTGGCCGCTGGCCCCTGTGCACGGGGCCGGAGGGGAGGCGGTTGGCCCCCTGCGCAGGTCCTGCTGTGCCGGGGTTTCCACTTTGGGGTTTTCCTTCCGCCGCGTTGGTGTGTAGGGCTCAGGAGTGACCGGAGATGTCTACCTTGGGGCCCACAAGCAGGGCATTCGGCCAGGCCCTCTCCTCACCCAGCTCACGCACCTGTCACGCTAGGCTGCTTGGGACTGTCCCCTGTCTGGGTCGTCAGGGGGCTCAGCCCCACGCCCCCAGTGCTGGCCGGTGAGAAGGATGGTGAAGGAGGGCCGGCTCACCTCCAGAAGCACTGGTGCCAGCTGTCCCCACTGAGGCTCAGAGCTGAGTTCATGGGTTCCCTCCGGAGAGGGAAGCGGTCCTGCTGGCCCTGACTTTTTATTCATTGCTGCATCTGTTACATGGACTTTGTGTCACAGTTAAAGTCGCTGTCTCTCGGTTTAAATATGTAAAAGAAACTTTTTCTGCATCTTTGGTTTCTGTATACCTAAGTTTATTAAAGGTTACTGTTGTTAGGTGACACTGTATAAAATTGTATGAATATTTTACCTTTAGCAAAAAAAAAAAAACTCCTATGTATTTCTTTTTTTTTTTTTTACATTTTCATCTGGTTTCTTGAAAACTTCAATAAATTTCATAAAGAGCCTTCCTAACACGAAATGTTGGTAAATTAACTGTTGCAATAGTTAATGAAGCTCTAATGTCAGCATTGTTACTTTGTAATTTTAAGAAAATCATGCTTTTGTTTCATTGCCCTGGTTTTTAGCTGTTTCCTTGTCACTGTCACAACTAGACTTTACACCATTCTTGATATTCTGAAGAACTTTGGGGTTGTCCTCTGTATAATGACATTAAATAAATGTGTGAATGAATTGTAAACGTAGATAATTTTCAATAGTCGTTTTCACATCTAAGCTTTAAAAAAAAAAATCTCAGTGAACCAAAAAATGAAAAGCTTTTAAATGCTGTAACATTAAGGGCTCTGTTCATGTTTAGAGAACAAATAGCGCCAGGAATTGCTACCTCTTATTACTGGATTCTGAGTTTTTCCTAATTCGAAGCTTACTAAACAAAAGTGTTTGTTCTGACCATCGGAGGTATTTCTTGTTTTCTGTGACCTTCCTCTGGGCCGAGTCCCCGTGGGGAAGGACGCGGGCTGACTGCCGTGAGCTGGTGGCCAGTCTGTGCGGACGCCAGGAGGCCACCGGGCCGGCCAGAGCCCCAGGTGGCGGCGGGCAGGCCTCCTTCTCCAAGTCTCGAACGGTTTGGGGGGGCTCTGTCAGCGCCGTTGGGGCCCCGAGGCCCCCGGTGCAGAGGGAGCTCCGTGAGCGGGCAGCAAGGAAGGGCCGGCCCCTCACCCTGCGCACTGGTACCTCCGCCTCTGGAAGCTTCTCGGCAAGAATTCCGGGCCTGGACCTGCACGTCCCGCCTGGGGCTCATGGGGGGCTCCTCACTCAGTTGTCGCTCCCCGCTGTCTCGTGGGATGTCTGGGCCTGGAACGCGGGGTGGGCGAAGCCTCTGGATACTCCCTCCTGGCCGCCTCTCCCTGGGGTGGGCGACCAGCCTCCCTGGACTCCGGAACACGCCCGACGGTGCGGCCTCCTGAGAGTGTGGCCTTCGCCTGCCCTTGACTCGGAGCTGCCGGCCAGGAGAGATGTCCGGTTCTCCACCCTCAGCGTGACCCGCTCCTGCAGAAGCCAGACGCTGTCTCCTCGGCCCTGGAGTAGCCTTTAGGCCCTGAATCCTAGTAGATTCACGGAACTTTAAAAAGACACAGGTGCAACATTCTGATCTTTTAAAAACCACTAGTTCTTACCTTGAGAAAATTAGTCCCATTTTTTTCTCCCTTGTGTGATTGCCTATTGAAACAGGCAATTCTGGACCAGATTCTGGACCAGCAGGGTCTCTTTCTGAAAAGGCACAGAAAACCTACGGGTGCCCAGCCCCACCCCGTCTAGTGTCAGCAGCCTCTGACCTGCCTTCAGGTGGAAGCCGCATAACCCCACGCGCAGTCGGAGGCTCCTGGAAGGCACGGAGGTTCACAGACCAGAGGGGGTTTCAGAGCCGCAGCAGGTCACCCGGCGGGGAGCCTGCAGGCCGCGGGAGGGCCTCCTTTCCCCAGCACGGTGCTCGCCGGAGCCCATAACTGAATATTCCCTAAGAATGTTCCCTTTTCCCCAGATGTCTGTAAACAACATCATCATTTTCTCTGGGTGATTTTTTCCCGGGTTGAGTGGCCTCTTTGGAGGAAGTGCGTCACCATCCGTGTGACCGGTCAGTGGGCAGGTCAGGGCTGCCAAGGTGGCAGGCTGCGGTGGGCGCTGGGCCTGGGGCAGGGCAGGGCCCAGGTGCCAGGGAATGGCCCAGAGGAGGCGCCGGCAGAGTGAGCCCCTCGCCGCACACCCCGCGCCCCCGCACCCACATCTTAAATCTGGCTCATTCAGTCCAGGACCCGAGCCTCACATGCAGCCACTCTGTCCTTTCCTTTGGTTCTCTCATGCAACCGTCTGGGCAGCGGGAGTGGTGGGATTCTTGTGGCTGAATCAGGGAAAACGTATCCATAGCTCGAAGTGGCCCCGGGGGAAGGCAGCCCGGTACTAACTCTCATTGCTTTTGTACCATTTCTGAAAGGGCCTCTCTTTACGGAGACTCAGCCCTTAGTCTCCAGGGGCGGTGGGGCAGTTCAGGGGAGCTTCCGGCAGGCTGCCTCGGACCAGAGCCCCAGGGTGCAGGCCCGCCCACAGGTAAGACTGACCCGGCACTGGACCTCTGCCCGCGGCCCTTTCCTTCGGGGCTCAGGAGGCTGCTGGTCCGTCTGCAGCAGGACCCGTCCTGGGGCCTCCCCGGCTGACTGACCAGGCCTGGACCGGTGCCACCGGCCCGTCTACCGGCCACCCCTCGAGGTCCTGAGGGGCGAGTCCAAGGTAGCCGGGGGTCGGGGGAGCCGTGCTGGGACCCGGGGAAGCTTCGGGACGAGGCCTCTCTGGCCTCCGAGACCCTCACACTCCCTCTTCTTGCTCTTGGGGCCTCCAGTCTCAGCAGCGCCACAAAGGAAGATGTTCCATGGTTGTAAATGGTTTTCTAGCTGAAATGTTACTTTTTCTAAACATTCTTATGAAACAAGGTTTAATTCTATCAGCTTAGTATTATAATCAAACCTAAACTAAGAACTGGGGTGTTCTGATCAATTCTCATATGAAATCGCTAGCAGGAATAAAGCGGCAACTTCGGTGAGAAGAGATCGGCCTCCTGAATAAACTCAGGAGTTGCCGCTGCTCGTGAAGCGGGCTTCCTTCCTGGGGGCTGGTAGGATGGCTTGAGGATTCCGGGCTGGAGAGAGCTGGTGCTTCAGGGGTGTTTGTAAAGCCCTTACTTTGCCAGCTGTTCAGTGTCCGGGAGACAGACCAGCAGCTACCGGCTGTCTGGATAGCTGGAGGCCAGCAGCGTCTCTGAGGCCAGATGCTCGGTCCTCCTGAGAAAATCCTCAGGGAGGAGGCAGGCCGGCTGAGGCCGCAGCGGAGCGGGCCCTCTGAACCGTGCTCCCGGTTCCCATTTCCAGCCGGCCTCCCCTCGGGAGTGGTCTGCAGTCTCTGACGGAGGCCCGCCAGTGTGATTCCCCTTTTTCTCACTGTCACCCCGTAACTCGCTTCTAGACGGAAGCACAGGCTTACAGAAATCAGGTGACTTTTCACATCTTGTTTGGGATAGTGTTCACAGACCTGGAAATTTGTAGCTTCTGTGTTGCAATACATGTAACCTTAAGATTATTAATAAATGAATGCCAGACCGTGACGTGCATCCCAGTGAGTGTGAAGAAATTGAGCGCTGGTGGTTGCATGAGGCTCAGCCCTCTCAGGTTCATCTTGAGCTCGGGGGGCCCCCCCGCCCCCCGCCCCCACCAGTGCGGTCCCCGCCCCCACCGCAGCCGAGTGCCCGCAGGGCCCTGCCCCGCGTCCACCCCCACAGCCTGGCCCTCCTTTCCCTACCCGCTGGGCCCTGTGCTCTGGTGCGGAGGCCGGAGGGGCGCCGCCATCACCACCCTCAGCAGACCCGCCCTTGTAAGAAACGCCTCTAGGCTCTGTTCCTGGACAACGCAGGCTCTGGGCCGAGCTGGGCGAGCTGGCCTGGGAGCCGGGGAACCCCCTCGGCGGCCCCGGGCTGCAGCCCCTGGGGAGGACGGTGAACAGCTCCCCCAACCCCAGGAGGTGCCCCTCGCCTTTAGGCAGCGATGCTTCAAAGCACCCAGGCCCTGAGAGACCACTCTCGCCCAGGCCAGCCCTGCCCAAAGCGTGCCAGCCAAGCAGCTCAGCGGCCTCCCCCATTAGGGAGTAAATACACGGACACAGAGGGTCTGTGAGAAACCCTGGCTCCCAAACCCACACCAGACCGGGCCTGACCCCGGGGCGCTGCTGGAAGGACTGAGTGACTGTGACTGTCTCCGCTGCTGTTTTGCTGGATTAATGGAAACTGCTTTGTTTGCAGGGTTTACTGTCAGCCCCAAACCAGGCCACTTCTCCAGGTGGAACTGTAGTGTAGCGACCCCACACCTGCTCGGACGTCCTCGCCCAGGCCCGCGTCTCAAGGGAGCAGCCGCAGCGCAGCACCGGCCGCGTCGGACCTTAAGCAGCGCCACGAGGAGCAGCTTGGTGGGCGTGCTGCTGCGCGCCCCAACAAGCTGTTTCCGTTTTTAAACCATTCTTTTGGGGCTGCAGTAAAAAATGAGAAATGAGGTTTTCTTGCTTTTTACTCTAAAATTCAATGCAATTAACATGTTATATATATAATTATACATATATACATAGTGTAAAATAAAAATGTTTCTTGGACAAGAAATCCCCTTAAATCCAACTGTTTATAAATAGTACTTCACTGTTTCTGCACTGAGTATTTTTAATACTTTAGGTGATCAGGAGACAACCTGGAATGCACTCATAAAATTGTTACAAGTTGTTTCTTGTAATTCAGGAAGACAAATGCTGCAATCATAGACTTTTAAAAGTTGTTTGCACTTAAAATAGATTGATGCTGTTAAAAAGTTATTTTGAATATGGGTGTAGTGGACCGCCAAGGTGTGGCACAAACATGCGCTTTTTTAATCTGTTAGCATTTATTTTAATACTCTAGCTCCAATGCAGTCAGCTCTGTATTATATGTATAAATAATGTAAGTCAGCAGTTGGGGAAAGGGTCACTTAAGTAAGTAATTTTCATCATCTAAGAGTGATATTTCTAATTCACACAAAGTTAATATTAAAGCTATCTTGAATATACCCCTCGCCTGTCTTCCATTAAACCGGCTCATCTGGGGAGATCTCTGCTTCTCTGGCCGCTTCCTGCCATGTCCCCATCTTCAGCCTTGGCGGGCCGCGGCACGTGTGTGCCGACTCTGGTTTCAGCAAACCATTTTCTCCTTACAGCTTAAAGCCCACGAGCCCACCTTCTGTCGCTGAGAGCTCTCACCCGCGACTCTCTGGTTTTGTGTGAAAATGCTTTGTTACCCATGTGGCGAAAAGGCTAATGAGATGACTTGGGACTTTTGATTTGCTGGAACCAGCTGGTGAGCAGCTCTGAGCACAGGTCGGGCCCACACCTGTGTGCGACCCTACAGGTGACTAGAGTACTGCAGCGTGCAGCTGCCGAGCGGAGACACTGCTGTCACAATCATACACAGTTGAGCCCTCTGAAAGGCCTTTATTCGGTCAGGCTCTAAACCATGGTGCCTAAAACACATTTCTCAGAGACCCCAGTAAACCAGGGGCACGTCCAAGTGATGTTAGGCTAGAAAAGATGCGAACACACTGCACTCACTCCCCTGCCATCATCTATGTGAACATACCCACAGGATCACGCTGCTGTTGCAGAAAAACTCCCATCAGCGCAGGTCTTGGCTTCCTTCCCGAGGCGAGGAAGGTCGGGGAGCCAGCTCTCCAGCAGCCGCCTCGCCTCACAGCCGGTCGGGTCTGGGTATACAGAGACCCCCGGCGCCCGAGCAGCAGGGCCAAGTGGCCGCCTGTGCCCGGAGGCCCAGCCAGTGCAGGCCCACGGGGCGCAGAGCCCTGGGGAGGGCGGGAGCCCCTGGGGCAGCAGGACTGTGCTGCTCAAACCTGGGAGAGCAGGCCCACCCGCTGACGCCGAGAGGGGAGCCCCCCGGGGGCCCAGGGGCCACACGGCCCTGCCCGGGAGCCCAGCCCAGCACCACGCTGGGGGGACAGGTGCAGTCACTGCAGAGTCCTTCACGTTTCTGTATTTAAAGTGGGTTACGAAGTCCCTGAACTGCCCTTAGAGCTGTCCTCGCTTGGAGCTGGCTCTGAGCGGGCCCTATCCCTGGCCGCTCCCTCTCTGCTGAGCCCTCAGCGCCCCCAGCTCCTGCCCCCCAACCCTGGACGTGGACCCCAGGCCCCCCCACCCTTCTCGGCCCAACGCCACCCCCACACGGGAGGACCCTGAAGCCGGCCCCTCCCCATGCACCTGGCCCAGAAGGCCCTCAGGCCTCCCCCTGTTCCTGGGCGCCCCGCCCCCGGCCTGTGAAATGCCAGCCCCCTACCCTAGCCTCCCATCCCTCTGCCTTTCTGTGGCCACCGCTGCTCTGCCCCGCCCCCCACCACCAGGGGAAACAGGGGTCTTCTGTGCCCATCTACTGTCTGCCCCCCGGGGCCATCAGAGCCGTGCCCTCTACCCATGGAGGCGACTGGGCCGGCGACCTGCCTGCGGCCTGCCCCTCACCTACTGCCATGCTGGGGGCCCGGGGCCGCGTGCTGGCCTGGGCGCCCTCCTCAGGAGGCTGCGCCCAAGTCTCCCCAGCAGAGCCAGTGCCCCTGATGCACCCACAGAAGTCAGGATAAAGGACGGTCAGGACACACGTTCAACTCGGCAAAGAGGAGGATCCAACACCATGAGAACAGCTTACTCTTTAATAAAATCAGGGGTCTCCGGTGGTATAATCTGGAAGCTGAACTGTGCTAAACACTAGCGCTGATGGACCACAGGCGTGCGGAGCCCGCGGTGAAGCCAGCCTAAACAACACATAATAACAGTATAATCTCTCTCTTCTGATTCATATAAAAATTACAAAATATCCCTGCCCCAAACCCTTACATTATGAAATGAAATAAAACCCTAGAAGGAGGTGGTTTTACAGATGTATTAGACTTGAACACACAGTAAAGCCACCCTCTGGACACGGCTGTCTTGGCCAGCGGCTCCAGGCCGAGGCGGTGGCGTGGGTCTGGGGGCAGCTCACCCGGGACAGGATGCCCGGGCCCCGGGAGCCCCCGGCCCGCTCGCTGACGCGGCGGCGGGGAGCCAGCCCAGGCAGGGGGCCACGGCACTCAGTAGCCCCCACCTCTGCGCTCTATCGCGGGCAGGCGGTACTGTTTCAGGCTGGGCTTGATGTCCTTCTGCGTGTCTGTCTGTCAGAGGGAATGACAGGCGCTCAGTGGGGGCCAGGGTGGGCGGGAGCGCAGGGCGGGGGACAGGGGACGCGGGACGCGCACCTTCTGGGCGGCACCAGCGCACTTCAGAGGTCTCAGCAGTGGTGCCTTCCGGGCGAGCGCTGGCCGCAGGGATGGGCTGGAGTAGGAGGCCAGCGTGGCCGCTCCCGACAGCTTCAGCCTGGGCAGCTCCATTAGGGAGGCCGGCCCCTGCCTCCGGGGCTGGTCCTCCTCTGGCCTCGTGGGTTGTTTCTACAAACAAGGACGGCCAGGTGAAGGCAGGATGCCAACCCCCTGCGGGAATTAGGCAGGGCAACAGGGGCGCTCTTACTGCTCCTGCCTCACACAATTCTGGGCCGTGAGGTGTGACCGCACGGTGACTGGCCCACACACGCCGTATCCCAGGCAGAAAGCCGGGGGGCCGCTCCCAGGCCAGGCCTGCGCTGACTGCAGCTGGGGGCAGGGTGCGGTCTCGCTTCCCGCTCTGACCCCCGGGGTTGGCTGCGCGGCCTGCAGCCTGCTTCTGTGGCCAGTGAGCTAATGGATTTCACAGCTTTTAACGGCTGAAGAAACTTTCACGGCATGCGAAAACTATGAGATTCCAACGTCAGGGCCCAGAGTTCATCAGGCTCCACCGCGAGGCCCAGGCACCGGCAGCCGGGCGCGGGCCTCGGCTCTGCCTGCAGGGGGCGCCCCGGGCAGCTGTCGGCAAGGAAGTGGCGCGCACCTGACCAGCAGGCGGGGCGGCGCGGGGACAGCGGCCACGGGGCCAAGTGAGGGGCTCAGGCTGGCGGAGTGGGGTGTCCACGGCTGGTGCTGAGCAGCTGCCCCCACCCCCGGAAGATGGAGGGAGGGCAGGCTGCGGGAGAGAGCGGGAGGCGAGGTTTGAGCTCGGTGGCCTCCTGGACGTGCACACGGGCCAGCTGGGCCGGACCCAGGGTCTCGCTCTCTTGAGGGCAGCCTGGCCGCAGGGACCCCCGCATGCTCGGCCCCCAGCAGACGGACCCTTGCTACACGCCGGGCCGAGTGAGGAACGGCGGAGGGGCAGTCACCTCGGAGCTCGGTGCCTGCACACGGCTGTGAAGGGGATTCGGGGCCTGAGAGGTGACGTTCTCACAAGGAGAAGCCACAGCTGCTAAAAGCGTGCGCAGCAAGCGCCGGTGGCCCGCTGCTCCTGCAGGGCTCAGCGGCCAAGGGGTCACCTGGCCAGGGGTGGCCTCCCTGCGCCCCCAGGTAGGGTGGCCTGAGGGACACAAGGTGACCGGCGCTGGGTCTGGGTGCAGCCTGGCCCTGGGGGGTGGGAGGGCCCACGCCCCGAGGCTGTGGACGGAGCTGGTGGGTCGCAAGGGCGGGGCCGTGGGAGCCGGTGCCCATGTCCGGCGTGGGCAGACGCCGTCTGGTTTGGCGGCAGGTCGCTGACGGCCCCTCCGGGCGGGTGGGGGGCCCTCCAGGGCGTCTGCCTGGGAGATACGGGGGGTCCCTGCGGCCATCGGCTCCCCCGATCACACAGTACCTGCTTCCGGCCCTCCTGCGCCGTCTGCCAGGTGCTGTTGAGCTCTGGGGCCATGGGGCGCTCAGGGAAGGGAGCGGGGGCCTTCCACCTGGCCCTGGCCAGTGCCTGCTTCTCGGCTGCCCTGTGGGGAGCACAGAAGGGCCCCTCTCTTGAGAACCCACCTGGCGTCCGCCGCCTCCAGTCTCCAGCCTGTCGCTCCCCTGCCTCGCTCACACGCGTCTCACCCACTGACCTCCGGGGAGCTCGCCCCTTCTCTGCCTCAGCCTGACAGCCTCTGGGCTCCAGGACTCGAGGCAGGAGGTGACAGAGGGGTGGTCAAATGCCCCGGGGCAGGCACTCCCCACGTCGGACGCCACCCAGCTCACTCTGGAGCCTCAGAGCGAGCGGGCTCACCCCACTAGCCCCCTCTGCTCTGAGTCCCTGGGCTCAACATTGGAGCCTTGACCTCGACTGGAAGGCAGCCACAGGCCCTGCTTCTACCCTCCCCGGTGCCGCTGCAGCCTCCTTTTGGGAAAAAGTCCAAGAGAGGGGCGAGGGGTGGGTTCCCAGAGGTATTGGCACTGTTCCCGGGACCACCTGTCCCTCTGCGCGCCCCTCACCCCCTCCGCGTGTCCCCCCCTGCCCCTCCGCGTGCCCCTCGGCCCCAGCAGTGTGCCCACCTCTGCCCCTGGAAGTAAGGGTGCTGCAGGGCCTGGTGGGCAGTGATTCTCTCGTCGGGATCATAGGCCACCATGGCGTGCAGGAGGGAGAGGCATTGCGGGGACAGACTGGTGGTCAGTAGAGGTATCCCTGATCCCTTTTTAAAAGGAAAATCAAAACTCATAGCTCTCGACCTGCATTAAAAGCCCAATGATAATAAATGGTCACGCCGCCATTTAGAGCACGTGGCCGGTCCAGCGTCAAGACTGCACAAGGACCTGCGCTGAAGGGACAGTTTACATCTAACAGTGGGGTGGGGAGGCAGGAAGTCATCCAGACTCCGGGAGCAGAGGGACCCTCAGGGAGCCGCGGCCCTGGGCTCCGTCACGGCCTCCGTGCGCCCCAGGGCGGCGGGCACCAGGAGAGGCACCAGGAGAGGGGAGGTCTCTGTACTTCCACTCACTTTTCCTGTGTACCTAAAACTGCTCCAAAACATTAAATCTGTTTTTAAAACGGGTGTGTCTGTGTATGACATCTCATGCTCTAAATATAAGAAAACTTTCCCTTGAAAAGACTAACATCACATTCCCACCAGAGAAGAATGAAAGAAAATTTAACAAAAGAACAAGACCCCAACATAGTTGTCATCTCTGTACCTTCCCAGGGTCTGGAAGCTGCTGGGTGCTGCCCACCCCTCATGTCCCTGGGGCCCCCCAAGAGCCCGGCTCCCCCAAGTCCCCACCCAGGGGTCAGTGTGGCAGGGCACCGGGCAGAGCTGCCCCAGGCCAGGCCTGCGGCCTGTGCTGGGAGCCGTCCTCACCCGAGGCTCCGAGGTCCGAGTGAACCCCCGGGGACACCTCCCAACTGCCCGGCCGAGCGGGCTGTACTGAGCCCGCGGGGAACAGCGGCGGGGCGAGCCCTGGGGCGGGGCCAGGGACCTGCACTCACTGCTTGAACTTGGTGAGGGTCTTCTCAGCAGGCGTGCCCATGACATCGTGGATCCTGGAGATCTGGTCCAGCTCGTTGGCGCCAGGGAAGAGCGGCTGCAGGCTGGATGGGATCAAGGCTGCCGTCAGGGCTCTGACCCTCCAGGCGGCAGAGGGACCTCCAGTACGCGCCCCCGCCCGCCGCCGCCCCGGGCCTTCCTCCTCCACTGTGCCCACGTCGGGGTCCTTCTAAGGCACAGAGCCCACTCTTGAATCTGCACAGCTGGGCCTCCACCAGCTGCGAAAGGAAACCCCCAGCGCCTCTCACCACCGGGGGAGCGCAGTCGACAACAGTGCAGGCCGGGTCAGGCCAGACGGCGTGGACAAACGAGGTCCACGGAGCGTTTCGGTTTCCGAGCCTTCACAGAGTTGGGACTTGTGGATAAAAGGGCTCTGGCGCCTCTCGCCTCCCTCCAAACTGATTCGAGCGACTGTGCTGTGCTTCGCTTAGTCCTCAGTCTGTCCGACTCTTTGGGACCCAATGGGCATGGGCTGTAGCCCGCCAGGATCCCCTGTCCAGGGGAGTCTCCAGGCAAGAACACTGGAGTGGGTTGCCATGCCCTCCTCCAGGGGATCTTCCTGATCCGTGGATCGAACCCAAGTCTCCCACATTGCAGGCAGATTCTTTACCGCCTGAGCCACCAGGGAAGCCAAGGGACTTAAGCACATGAGAAAAGACCATCTGCTGGAACTTTATCAGCGAAACCACCGGTCTCCTTTCCAAAAATAACACTCACTTATCAACAGGGAAGCTCTGGAATCAGAAGCTGCGCCCTGAAGGGCCTGTGCATTTATCACGGGGCCAGTGGACGCCCTGGGTCCTCCCGCCTTGCCCGGCTCTGCTCTTCTGACCGGGTCACTCCGACGTAAATCACCCCTTCCACGCCCCGGCCCGTCCTTCCTGACCCGCCGGAGCAGGAGGGTGCGCCCCCCTCCTCCCTTCCCGGCCTCTGCTGTGGCCTTGCTCTGCCCAGAGCTGGAGCCAAAGCTGGGGTGGGGGCAGCACGCTCAGGGCTGGGGCACTCTGGACTCCTGCTGCTCCTCAGCCCTGGGGCCTGAGAGCCTGTGGGAATGACTGGACTCCGAGGGCAGACTAGGGGCACGGCAGGCCCCACACGGCGCTGGGAGCACGCCCTGGCTCCGTTCCTTCACCGGCTTCATCAGTTATACCACTGATGAGGCCACACGGAGAGGCTCGGCCACCCAGGGCTGGGCGGCCGCTGGGAGAGGACTGACAGTGTTCCTCCCTCCATGCTGGGCAGACAAGGAGAGCAGCCCGCCCGCTTCCCGTCAGGTTCAAGGGCAGCCACGACACGGGAAGGACCGTCCCAGGCGCGCAGGAGAGCGTGAAGGGCGGGCCTGGCGGGAAGCCGCTGGGTGCTGCCCCAGGGGCCCAGCGCTACCTGGCCATCTCGTAGAGCACGCAGCCTGCGCTCCACAGGTCCATCTTGAAGCCGTAGAAGCCATCGGTGAGGAGGCACTCGGGGGCCCGGTACCAGCGGGTGGAGATGTACTCGGTGTATGGCTGCCTCGAGTGGACGCTCCGGCACGAGCCGAAGTCCCCGAGCTTTAGGACATGCTGCTGCGAGCGGGGAGACACGGGGACAGGGAATGTCTCACCAAGCAGCGGCCAGCTCACAGGCCACTCCAGGTACTGGCGCGCTGACACAATGACGCCCGGCGTCTAAACGAGCTTGGAAACCATAGAGCGCTGGCTGTGCGAGCATCTGCGAGGTCGCCGCTGACCCATGAGCAAGTGGGGTCTCTATCCAGTGGGTCACATTGACAAATATTCTGGCTATGTCTTACAGACATTTCAAAATGTCTGCAAAACGTCTTTGGGCTGTGCAAATGTTTAAGTCACAGTGTAAGTCTACAGATGAATTCTACACCCTGGTCATATTCCCCATTATGCCTCAAACAGGTTTCAAGGTGTTTCTTCCATCTTCTCTCTCTATCATATTCAAGTCGTGAAATGCATGCTGTCAATAAACATTAAGTTTCTGGCAGGCACCCGCGGCTACAGCCCACATTAAATAGCACTTCTCTCAGCCAGACGATGAAGAAAGCTACACTGAAAGCCTTGTCTCTTTTTCCCATTCCCAATACAGTCAAGAAAAATTAAGGCACATAAAAAGGCAAGAAACAACGGTCTGAAGAGGCAAAGCATGCATCAAAACCAGACTCAGATGTGGCACAGGTTTTAGAATTTTAGAATTATCAGACAGAAAATTAAAAAAAAAATAAACTATGATTAATTTAAGGGTTCCAGGGGAAACAGCATGCAAGTTCAGATGGGAAATGTTTAAGAAGAGAGATGGAAACCCTAAGAAAAAATCAAAAGCTAACATCAGAAATAAAAAAACACTGGAAGAAAAATTTTAAATGACTTTGATAGGTTCATCAACAGACTCATCAGCCAAGAAAAGAGTCAGTGACCGTGAAGATATGCCAACAGAAACCTCCCAAATTGAAATGCAAAGCAATAGAAGAACATCAAAAACAGAACCAAACATCCAGGAGCTGTAAGACAATTTCAAAAGTTGTGGCGTGCACACACTACAATGCGGACAAATCTCAGAAGGACGATGCTGAGTGAAAGAAGTCAGACCACAGAAGGGTATATACCATGTAATTCCATTTATAGAACATTCTAGAAGACACAGTAATTCTATTATGACAGAAAGTCAGCTTGTCTTTCCTGCGGACAAGGGACAGGAAGGCAAAGGTTACCAAAGGCAAGAGGAAGCTTTTGGGGGCAGTGGCTTTGTTTGTTGACTGGGATGATGGTTTCATGGGTATATACAAATGCCCAAACCTAACAAACCGTACACTTTACACATGTACAGTTTAAGGGCTTCTGAGTGAGACAGACCTGAGCTCAAATCCTGCCTCTTCCCCTTTTATATTTACAGCATTTAGAATAATTTATCAATAAATGGAGTTTATTTTTATACACAGTATATAAGAAGGGTGCCTTTTTCCAGACGTGCAGTTATGTTGATGGCATTTATTAATGATTTTTTTCCCCAAACTGAAGGGGAAAAAAAATAACAAACATGACATCCACTGGGACTGAAAGCATATCCAGTGAAAAGCTTTTTATTCTATCTTCATTCGGATATCAATTTTTCATATAAAAGTTCTTACCTTTACTAATATATTTTCTGGTTTTACATCTCTGTGAAATATTCCATTTCTGCATTCAACATGAAAAGAAGGACAGAATTAATTGCACCTCATTCAATCCTTTCACACTGCATTTTCTAATGAATGGTAACACATTTTATCAATCTGAAAGCCTCCAAGTCTCCACGTGAGTACCTGTGCATGTGGTCCAGAGACTTACACAGCTGGTACATGTAGTGAGTAATTTTCTTCTCCGATAACGGGTGTCTTCTTCCTTTGCAATCAAGGAGACAGCCAAATACGGTTACCAATATCCCCATTTCTAATAATGTGCAAAAATTTCTAATTTTCTCAGTGAAAAACAGAATGGAACAGTTCTAGGAAATATGGAGTCCATCTACAAAATATGCCATGTAGAATTCTATATATCGACATGATCTCATTCAGAATCGCAGAGCACCAGGCCTTCTCTGCAATGAGAAGGGTGCTGAGCGATCACCAGGGGCACTCGGTCTGGGGCCTCCACGCAGCCTCAGGCAGGCCTGCAGGGCACACTCCTTCACACTGTGACTATGAGATGGCAGGCCACGTGTGTGCACACGCGCGCTCAGTCGTGTCTGATTCTGCGACCCCATGGGCTGCAGCCAGCCAGGCTCCTCTGTCCTCGGAATTTACCAAGCAAGAATACTGGAGTGGGTTGCCATTTCCTGCTTCAGGAGATCTTCCTGACCCAGGGATCGAACCCGCGTCTCCTGTGGCTCCTGCATTGGCAGGCGGGTTCTTTACCACTGAGCCACTTGGCAAGCCCGAGATGGCAGGAGTCACCTGCAAATCCAGCATTTTCCTCAGCTTCCTGTCTAGATGGAGATTTCCGTCTTTAAGGGAATAATAGATCACTGTTTTGTTTTGTTTTTTCTGCTGCACTGCCCAGCATATGGGGTCTTAAGTTTCCTGACCAGGGATTGAACCCGCACCCCCTGCAGTGGAAGCGTGACGTCTTAACCACTGGACCATCAGGGAAGTCCCAGAAGTACGTTCTCTCAATCGAAGAAGACGACCAATGACTGAATTTCACAGCCCACACACTCCTCTCACAAAAGGGAGCAGACACTGGCACTGCTGACCATGCCCTGCAGCACGCTGAGCACCCATCCACACAGCCTGCAACATTTGTGATGTTCTAGAACCCCGCACACCACCTCCAGTGCCACGGACTACTGCAGGCCACAGGGCCCCAAAGAGTCGGACTCGACTCAGCGACTGAATGACAGCCAGTACCACAGACACCCGTGTTCTTGAAGATGTCACATTTTAACTTGATTTTAATCCCAGACGTCTGTGTTTCTAGGTTATTAGGTTTTAAATATGAGAAACACATGCTCTCACCTAATAATTCAGAAAGCCAACATGAGCACATGGCCCACTTGACATTTTTGGTCCTAAGTTTGCAATTTCTGTTGAAAAATTAATGTTTTCTTTTTCTTGCATAACAAGAATGTTTATGTTAATGATAGAAAGTAACAATTTACAAAATGTCTAAGTGCAGTGAATTTTTCCATGTCATACTATAATCTTTTTATTCTATTTCACATCAGTTTTCCACAATTAAAAAGAATTAAAACTAAGACTACTGGCTTCCCACAGCTTGAGGAATTTTATAATTCCTTTATTCTGTAATAATTTTATCAATTACCTGTACAAAGGTGAAAAGAAAGCAAAATTTCCACTCTCTGTCACCCGTGAGGCTGGCTGAAGTGTTGTGAGGTTCTGTCCCCTCTGTCCTCGCTGCCCACGGACGAGGCGGGCTCCCCAGACCCCGGTGGCAGACTCCCCCCAGCTCAGGGCTCTCAGGACGAGGGCCCCCAGTCCCCTGGGGCCTGTGAAGACACAGGCTGCTCCCCATCCTCGCCCGGCATGTCTGGTTCAGCAGGTCTGTGGTGGGGCCCTGAAAGCTGCCTTTCCAACGAGTTCCCAGAACCGGCTGGCTGCGGGGCCTGGCTGTGCGCCTCGGGAGCCACACCTCCCTCTTGCTGACGGGACGCTCCAGCCCATCCCCTTCTCCCGCTTCCCGATTGTACTCATGCTGCTCTGTTCCTAAAAGCACCCTTCCCAGCCACATCCACACAGCCACATCCTAATTACAGCATAAAGCTGTCCTTACATTCATCTGAACCTTAACTCAGGGAAGGCGGACTCTTTTAGGAAAAGTCTAATGCATCCAATCTTCATAATCACCTAGGGATCTTTCATAAGACAGATTCCAAGGCCCAGGCCTAGCCCAAGTGAATCACAAGCAGGCGGGGGAGCCAGGAGTCTGACCTTTCACTGCCTTCTGCCCCCAGGGCAGGTGGACTCTCTGCCTTCCTCCCGGGCTGCCCCCCTCTACCCATTCGTAGCCGTGGGGGCAAGGCCGTGAATCCTTCCCATCCCTCCGTGGGAATTCCTGTCTGCACACGGGGGCTCCCCGGGGACAAGGGGCCTGCTTGAGCCACGGTGCCACTGCTCTGAGCAATCAGAGTCCACAGCCTCGACGAGGAGGAGGGACTATCGACTTTCACAGTATTTCCCCCAAAAGAAGATCCTAAGCTTCCGGGCGCAAGATGGTATCTGGTTCCCACCAGATTCTCGCTTACAAACACCTTGAAGCAGACAAAATACTGTTAATAAAACGCCCTGAGGTTCCTCATGTGACCCTTTACTGAAGCCAGCACACTGCAAACAGTATTTCCCTGGCTCACTGAGCCAAATTAATTATTCCAAGATAATTTTTGACCAAATATTCTCATTAAGAAGGCACTTAATAAATGTCACACATAACATCAGCAATGCAAAAAATTGAAAGTGAACACAATGATTAGCTGTGGCCTCCAGTGTAACCTGCGTTGCACCAGGAAATCTAGCACACACGCCCCTCCCACAGGAGGCCCTGTCCCCAGGCTGTGCCTGGCTCTCCGGGTCAGGCTCCGAGGTGCTTGCCGGGCCCACCAGGGTGCGGCCAAGTGGCCCACAGTCTACGCCTGGGCCCAGAGGCTAGGCCCTGAGGCAGCCTGCGAGCACGTGTCTGCCATCAGTATTTTCCAAGAGAGAGCCCCGTGGGACAGCATGCGATTCTCAGAGAGGTTGGAGGTCCCGACAGGCAGAGGGAAGCAGGCGGGGTGTCAGACTCAGCATGGAGCCGGAGCCATCGCCAGCACCCCTGTCTCAACAAGGCCGCATTCAAGGAGGGCCTCCCAGCTCTGCTCTTTGTCTTCTGCTGTGTTTCTTATTTTTTGGCCATACTATGCGGCATGTGGGATCTCAATTCCCTGACCAGGGATCGAACCCACACCCCCGGCATTGAAAGCGCAGAGTCTTAACCACTGGATGGACAGCCAGGGAAGCTCCCCAGCTCTGCTCTCTGAAGCTGGCTCATCTCAGGCAAGTGCTCTGACTTCTTGGAAGCTCTTTTCCTCACCTCTAGAGTGGAGCTGAGCTCCCAGCACGGGGACGAGCCAGTGCAGGAATCCAGAGCCGGCACACACCAGCTGTGTGTGGCGCGATGATGGTGGGGGTGAGGTGATGACAGCCGCCCACGCTGATTAAAGACCAGGCCAGCCGGGTACCGCTCCACACGCCTCACACCTGTCATTTACTCCTCACAACTACCCTGAGAGCCAGACACTATGATTACCCCCATTTTCCAGACCAGGACCTGCCGCCATGAGATGCGTACGGTGCTGTGCGTGCTCTGGCCTGGAGCGCAATCGGGGACACCCGTGCTCCCTGGACACAGAACTGGACGGCACCTTCCAGAAGCACCAGCGCTGACCTAACAGTGGTGCCATCAGCTTCAGGAAATTCCAGCGAAAATGCTGCTGCATCACTCACACCCTCAACAGCACAGATGGACAAAGTGAGGAAGACGCTCAGCGATCACGCCACATCAGGATGTTTCAAGGAAGAGTTAGCAATGCCGTAACGGGTTTATGTCATGTCTACTTCCTTTTCATATATGCACAAAAGTGATGTGGGTGGAAACTGTCTCAATAGTTCTGAACAATTTCCTTTAATAAGGACAGAACTAAAATTGCTAAGTGAAAAGAAAGGTATGTGTCAGAGCGGCAGTGGCAATGTTTTTTTTCCTTTTTGTTGGTACATAAAAAATATTGCATCTTACAATTCAGTGGCTCAGATCTGATCAAATATAAAAATATAACTGAATTAATCTGACACAGTAATGGCATGCAAAACTGTTACATTACGTAATGACTGGAACATGAACCCTGATTTCAGAGTTGCCTTAGAATTGAGGAAATACAATCATTCCTGGGTGTCTGCAGGGTCCTGGTTCCAGGAGCCCCTGGCACCACAATTCGTGGATGCGCAAGCCCCTTGTATAAAATGCTCCATAGCTCAGACACACTGCCTGAGCTCCTCATGGAAACAAACTGTAATGCTACGCTTACAGTCAAACAAAGCTTGGTCTGCTTTTTCCTATCTGGCTCACCGCCCAGAGTCACGGATTTGTTTCAGGATGCCTGGTGCACTCACAGGCTCTAAACGGTATAACCCTAAGGTGGCAAGACAAGCCCCCAGACCTGGAACAGCCTGTGCTCCAGAAGGCGGCCCGTGTGCTGCCGGGGGAGAGTCTCAGGGTCTGGGTGGCCAAGTCTGTCGAGGAGGACAGACAGAGGAGCCACGGCGGGAGACCACATGGCCCGAAAGTGGTTGGTGGTGGCCTTGGCCACCAGGCCTTCCCGGTCCACTCAGGGCTGTCCAGAGAGCCGCGTGCAGTGGGCAAGAGCAGGCGCTGCCCGAGCCCTGACCCCAGACCATCCTGGACGAGGCCCACAGCCATAGACGGGTCCCTTGTCTCTCCATGCCTCCCTTTCACCATCCCGAACATGCAATCATAACAGAATCTGCCTCACAGGCTCTCAGGGTGAAATAAGCTGACTCCTCTCAAGGGCCAGGGGCAGTGCCTGGCCTGCGGTGAGCACTCACGGCCATCAACCATCACTGTCATCGCCACACAGTCGGCGCCCCGAACCCCCGGGTCTCTGTCCGCGGGTCCCGCATCCGAGGTTTCTGAGGTTGGCTAAATCCCTGAGTCGTTTTATATACAAGGGGCTTGAGCATCCGTGGATTCTGGTACCTGCGGGGCTGCTGGAACCAGTACCTTGCAGACACCAACGGATGACTGTATCTCCTCAATTCTAAGGCAACTCTGAAATCAGGGTTCATGTTCCAACAGTGAGTACCTTACAATCACTGTCCACTGTTTTCCCCACGTTTTAGCATCTCTGACACCTAGAGGCCCCTTAGCACTGACAGCACCTGACCCTACGCTCAGAGCACAGAGCCTGGCCTGTGAAGCCACTCGGCATCCCCAGGATGAACCGACGGCCGCTGAGCTATAATACAACAGTCTGCTTTCTACAGCCTCTGTAGGAAGACACTGAAAGAAACAGATTCACTTCCTCCAATTACACGACTCCCCTACTATTGGAAATTAAAATATTAACTTCTAAACAAAGTTTTCTCCCATCTAAACATACAAAAAACTTGCCAGAAATTATCCCCTCCCCTCAAGTTTTAAAATATCACACTCTAACAAGCATAATTCTAACGTAAGATATGTATCTTATACCAAGAGAGTTGTTATTATACTAAAAGGAAGTGATTCTGTAGATTCATTAAGAACAAAATGTCGGCTTACTGGTAAAAAGATCATTGCAAATTACAGTAAAATTTAGCGGTTGTTTCTCTTGGTTGCATTGATACCCTGTCCTGATACACTGTGAAAATATTTATTACACAGAGACTATCAAAGTGAAGGATCTAAGTCAGTTAGTGTATCTGAAAGTTAATCACAGAGTAACACCTTATTTATCCAAGCTGTCTGGAATAAGACTTCAAGTGAAATTTCCAGGTAAGTGAGGTTTACTCCTCAGATATACAACTCTTTTCTATTTGTAGGTACTTTACATGGGAATCTTTTAAAAACATTTCACTCACTTTCCCATCAGCGTTTCCTACAGTGATATAGTTATCACAATCCAGTACATGACTATGTTCCCTCTAACCTGTCCTGGGGAACCTGGCAGCTTAGAGCTGTTCTCCCAGACCACTCTTGCTTTGGTTTATATTTTCAGTCTCCTCCCCCATGACTGGATTGTCACCTGTCACTTTCTGTTGGTGTGTAAAGTTCTAGATGCGCCTTTTAAGAGCTCTTATTTTTAATAGGTTTTAAACCAAGAAGCCAGATGACTAAGTTTATTTTAAATTGTACTTAGAGCAAGACACCTGAGAGGTTTGTCTATGAATAAAATACACAAGGTTTGTAACTTAAAAGAAATATATTCCCAGATACAAGGCAATCTCCTACTTTCCTCAAAAGATGTAAAAGTTTCTGGATCCAAAAGTTTTATATCAACTTTCACAGATGTAAAACTTGTCTACTCATGCTCTTTATTAATTTACTAAGCCACATATTTTAAATCACATATAAAATATGTCCATTTGACATATAACTTGCTTCCACACTCCCACTCCATAAACAGAGCTCTATCTGAACTCTTCACATGCACCTTTGACATCATGTTAAAGGTCCCCTTTGTGCAAGAACGGCTTCTCGATCTAAAAGTCTTCTACACCACATCATCTGCCCTGTGGCCTAACCTGCTTGAGGTAATAAAGCAGTTTTTAAATCATCTACGATACTGTTGCTAAAATTCTATTTCAGATATAAAGAGTCCTTCATATAACATAAGGCAGTGATATTTTTCATTTCTTCAGTAAGAATAATATGATCCATAAAGTCTAACACTTGCTGTGTGATATTTACAAGGCTCATTTGTCCTGACATCTAACACAACGGGGAGGTCAGACCCAGGGCTATTTGATAAACATGGGCCAACCTCCGGCCTCCTCCTCTCTGCTTCCCCAGGTGACCTCTGTTGGCCTCCAAAACCAGCCGTGACTAGGTCGGCTCCAGCACGCATGCTTCCCCAAACAGTGCGTACTGTTCAAAAGACGGGGAATGAATGAACACTCAGCAGCACACGGCACCGCGTGAGGCTCCAAACCCAAGCGGGAAGGAAAGTCCCTCTCAGGGGATTATTTGGGGGGGAAGGCCTGCCTTATTCCGAAGCCTAGAGTAGAATGCCGAGCAATGGCAGAGCCCGGAACGGACCCTCGAAGGGCACGAGCCTGCGAGAGGCCTGAGCTGGGCCTCCCGCTGTGCACCCTCACCCGCGTGACCCCGCCAGCCTGAGCGCCGTGTGGCATCACTTCCTGTCTGCAGCCATGTTCTGAGCAGACAAGACTGCCCCCAAATACCTCCCACACCCAGGTGGTGCTAGTGGTAAAGAACCTGCCTGCCAATGCAGGAGACGAGAGACACGAGCTCAATCCCTGAGTCGGGAAGATCCCCTGGAGGAGGAAATGGCAACCCACTCCAGCATTTTTGACTGGAGAATCCCACTGACAGAGGAGCCTGGTGGGCTACAGTCGCTGGGTCACAAAGAGTCGGACACAATTGAAGCGACTTAGCACACACACACTGTATACTTATATACAACTACTGAACTGTGGTGATTGATGATTTTGAGAATTAAGACAAATACATGGGAACTATAAGCTTTAAAAGATCTTAGACGCTCTTTCAAATTATTCTACATACCTCGTATTAGCTCATAAATATTCATCTCCATAAGTTCACATATTAGTGCAAGAGAACCAGATTTTCTGTCACTGAAAAGAAAGCAGGATTTAAAATGTTTTTTTCCTTGTATTAACCAGAAAAAAAGCATCTAATATTTAACTCATTTGTAAACACTTCTGATAAACATAAAACACTCCCACAGCAAAGACCAAAGTGTAATGACCGGAACAGCAGAAGTTTTGATTTTCAGACGGTATTTTAGGTAAAAATAATTTTAAATAATAATAAAACAACTTTAGGCAAAAATTCTAAAAGTTGGCCTCCCACAATTTTGGGAAAAAAGCATCTTGAGATTATAAAATTAACTATTATATCTTCAGATAGAAGAAAACAGGTTGAGGAGTTAGAGAAGCAAAACAAAGAAAGTAGGACTTAATTCAAGCTCTGTGGCTGCAAATTCAGCTTTAATTTACCTAAATTACTTCCACGTCACTGAGATACATCACAGTGTGGGGAGTGAAATAAAAAACCTGGCCAGGGGCAAAAGGAGGAAGACGCCTCTCCCCACACCCCTGCAGTGAGCGGCTGGACGGGGCGCGGTCCCTCGGGCTGCCATGGACAGAAGCGCTCTGCCCCTGCAGCGCTCAGCACGGGCAGCGCTGTGACCGCCCGCGCAGGCTGCAGTCCCCGGACCCGGCCGGACACGTGCCTCAGAGCACGCGGGCCAGGAGGCCACGCGGCCAAGACAAGGCACTGCGTTCTGAGTGTAGGACTGGTCAGCCCTCTGATGAAAACCTCCCCCACCTCAACGGTCAGAGACTGCGGTTTCCCGGACGGTGGTACAGGCCAGGCTTCCCGCTGAGGGGCGCCTTCTCGGAGCTTCAGGCCGGATCCCAGCCCCAGCCCCCAACAGACAAGCCCTTCCAGACGAGCTGTGCTCTGCCTTCTTGATTTGAACAGAAGTGAAAACTCCCTTGAAATTATGTCAAGTACAGAGAGAACGGCTGCACGAAGTCATACCAAGATGGCGACTGCAGGGATGACCTACGTGCAGCCCCCGAAAGAGGGCACGTGGCTCACACACAGGTGCCCCGAGCCACCGCCGCCTACACAGAAGCCCAACTGAGTTTCCGGAGGGGACCATTTGAATGATGTTCGCTGCTGTGATACGGAGTCCCTGCAACGAAGGCCTTTCCACTTTAGGACTCGGATGCAGACACTGGTCCAAATACATGTCTGAGCTACAAAGCCAATATTTAAAATGTCTACTGTGGTTTTCTTTCCTAAAAAGAGATCTAACAATTATCATCGAGGTTAGATACTTTTTAAAGCCCCAGTATACTTACAAAACCACTTCGTGCAACGTGAGAATGTTCGGGTGTGGGTTCAGGCGTCTCAGTGCTTGTATCTCTCGCAGGTTGTTCACTTGCTCAATACTATTGTGCAGGTAAAAATAAATAACGAGTTTATTATTTAGGTCAGCTTTAAAGTCAGGGTTATCAAATCACTGTTTATTATCCATGATCACAAGTTACAAACTCACAAATAACGTCAAGCAAGTTTATCAGGTTTTATTTCTCCCATCAGCAGCTGAACATGAGCATCTCTCATTTATACATTATGTTACAAAAATCGAGGCTCTTACAGCTTTGGGCACGCGTTCAAACTCTTCCCACCTAAACTCCTGAAAGGATACTTTGGTAGTTTCTCTTACAATTAATAAATATAGAAACAGAGACTAAAATTTTCCATTAGTCAGTTTACAGGAACTAACTGAGCAATGTAAGCAACCTCTGAAAATAAGCATCTCACGTTCAGACCGGCCTTCTTTCTAATCTTCAATGCAGGCTGTACACGGTTTCAGTCATTCATCCGGGGAGTCTGGGAGAGGCGTTCTCTCAGCAGGCGTGTCTTTACTGAGGCTTTTCTTTATGGAGACTGCTCTGCCTGCCACTGCGTTCACACCCCGGATCACAACAACGCAAGTGCCAGAGGCCAACGGCCTGAGGCCGGCTGTCACCACCCTCTAGACTGACCCTCACCGGGGCACTCTCCCTGCGGCTGGACCCGTGGGGTCAACCCAGCCAAACGGCTCCGTCCACCAGAGACTCCATCTCAGCGGCCCCAAAAGAAACTGATTCTGGAAGTATTCTTTCTCTGAACTGGCAAACCTGTTTCACCAACTTCTTTTTTCCTTTCTTTTCTCTCCCCTGGCCTTGCCACGTGGCTCGTGGGCTTCTTGTTCCCAGACCAAGGATTGAACCTGGGGCCCAAGGCTGGACCGAGTCCTAACCACTGGACTGCCGGGGAATTCCCAGTCAGCTTTCAACATGCAGAGTGAAGCTCAGCAGTGTGTTTGGTTATTCAAAGGGTGGTTATAGCCAATGGTATATTACTGTTGCTGTTTCAAATCAACACGGCTGGATATTCCCAGTCTCTCTCATGCAAGTCAACAAATAGGAGCCTGATACGTACCTGGGCAGTCTGAGCATAAGCATGTTTCTGACAAAAAGCTTTCGGTCCCTTTTTAACTATTATCCTCTATTTCGCCCCTCATATCCAGGATGATATTCAAAATATTAGCAATTTACACACCACGGTCCACAACCACCCAGAAAGGACACAGCTCACTTTGCCGGCACAGCACCCTTAAGGAGGGCCCCCGCTGAACCCAGGACTGCAGCCCTTCAGATGCGGGAGAGCGGGGGGTCCGACGACTGTGGGCGAGGGGCCAAGCACAGTGCGTAGGGTGGCGGGGTGGGGCCACACCCCGGAGGCTCAGGATAGCAGCTCCTTCCCGCCTAGAATCTGAGTTCTTCACTGCCTAGTAACCATTACGGATGGCCATCCTGGGGCGTGCAGGGCCCAGACCACAATCCTGTCCGTCCACTCTGCCAGTTCAGTGCCCAGCTCACCACCTGCTCCTGCCCGCACCCTGGCCTCCCCTAGGGAACTCTAGAGCAGTACTTCCCAAAACATGTCCCACAGAATTTTATTTCTCTGGAAAACGCTTTGTGGATAAACTGCATGTTGAGGAAATGTGAGACAGGGCCAATCTAGTTCCTTTCAGAGAGTGACAATTTACAGTTGATGTCAGAAGCTTTCAAAACTCCTACAAAATAAGGAAAACAGTTTACCTTCATTTAAACCAACATTTTCCAGACTTTCTGTGGGCACAGGGTCCTCTCTTACATAATATTAAGTCACCGTCCCTTAGAACTAGAACACACCACTCCGGACCATCCTCTGAATGACAAGGCAGATACAGATTTTTTTCCATAGGGCAGAGATGAACAGAGACACCAACAAGGCAAAAGGAGGAAGAAAAGAGCAAGCTGAACATTCTTTGGGGGGTGCTTACGCAAACAGCGGCCAAGCATCTCTCCCTCCCTCCCTGGGGTGCGCGCTGGAAGGGCAGCCATAGTTCGCCCCACAGTCCCACACCGCAGAGTCCCTGACCCAGGACCAGGCCACTGAAGACCCCCCACTGGTGCCTGCCAGCCTCTGCCCAGGGCATGCTGTAAGTCAGTGGTTATCAACCGGAGGGACCTTGCCCCCCTGACGGACACGGGACAATACTAGAGACATTTTTAGTTGTCCCTGCTCCATTCAATGGCAGCAGCCAAGGATGATGCTAAATATCCTATGGTGCACAGGAGAGGACCTGTAACAAAGATGAACCTGGGCCCAAACGTCAGCGGCACCGAGAAACCCAGCCTTAGGTGGAAATAGCAAGAAACCAGTTGGAGCTAGCAGCAGTTCTAAATTTTGAACTATATACCTGATCTAAAAAAAAGAAAAAATAATCAGTCTTTTAGGACCAGTTAGTCAAATAGCTTTGTCATTTAGACAAACATTCACTCACCCTTCTTATCTTTAATATGAAAACCGCTATGATATCCTGAAACACATTTTCTTATTGCAGACGGAATCATTTCATGCCTCCCCAGGCACACACTCAGAACTAAGGAGCTAGTGCAGACGGCAGACAGGCGCCCTGACTGGGTTCTCCCCACCTTGGTTCAGGCAACAGTGTGCACGCAAATGTAAATCAACTCTGCTCCTTCTTTTAAAGATCCTGGGGAAAAAAAAAAAAAAAACTAAAAATCTGCAAAGTAACCACTTTTCTTTGCCTTGGAGCTGCTTTGAATTCTGTGGTCAAGTGACATTCAGGTTTTTTCTGTTTGTCTTTTTACTGTCCTGCTGGAAACAGAAAATCTCATGGAGCGGAACACAGAGGAATGTAGGCAAGCCTCTGCTTCTAAAAGAACCAGCTGGGGAATTTCCCTGGCTGTCCAGTGGTTAAGACTCCAAGCTTCCAGTGCAGGGGGTGAGGGTTCAATCCCTGGTCCAAGAATCAAGATCCTACATGCTGCGGAGCAAGTAAGCCCACATGCCGAAACCACTGAGCCTGGACCACAGCCACAGAGCCCGCGTGTAGCCCGCGCCACAGTGGAAGACCCCCACAACACGATGACGATCCCAAGCTCCGTGACTAAGACCTAACGAAGCCAAATAAACATTCAAGCAGACACACACAATGAAGCAACAGGACACACTCACTGGAATGGCCAGAATTTAAAAGACTAACCACACCAAATGCTGGAGAGGATACGACGCAACTGGAACTCGGGTTCTTTGCTGATGGATATGGAAAAAGGTATAATCATTTCAGAAAAAGGCTGGGCTGTTTCACATACAGTTAAATATACATCTACCCTGTGACCCAGAGATTCTATTTCCAGGTAATGACCTAAAAATACATACACACATATATAACCATAAAAAGTCTTGTATGAAGTTTTACAGAAGCTTTATTCATAGTGGTTCAAAACCAGAAACCACCCGAAAGTTCCTCAACATGAGATGAGATAATGAGGTGTTTTGCAGTCAAAGCCTGGAATGGACACCACTCAGCGGTAAGTAGATGTAAGCTACTGATACGACAATGGGATAAACCTCAGAGACTGCATGGATGCTGTGATAAAGGAGTGGAGAGATTCCATTTAACAGGAATTTCTACAAGAGGGTAAAGAGAAACAAAACAAAACCCAAAGAGTGGCTACCTGGGATGGGAAGGGAGGACTAAGGAACCCTAAGAAACTTTTGGGGGAGAAAGACATGCTCTATGCTTCGATTATACAGAGATATCCACTTGCAAAAATTATATAGTTCAAAAATGTGCATTTCAATGAATGCAAACTTTGCCTTTTAAAAAAGAATTGTATAATAATAACCAAGTGGAATGCAAAAGTAGGAAGTCAAATATCTGGAGCAGCAGGCTTGTTTGGCCTTGGAACACAGAGCGAAGCAGGGCAAAGGCTGATAGAGCTTCGTCAGGAGCACATGCTGGTCACAGAGAACACGCTCTTCAGTAACACAGGCGACGACTCTACACGTGGACATCACCAAAGGGCTAGTGCCAAAATGAGACTGACTGTATCCTTTGCAGCCAAAGACAGAGAAGCTCTATACAGTCAGCAAAAACAAGAGTAGGATCTGACTGTGGCTCAGATCATGAACTTCTTACTGCAAAATTCAGACTTAAATTGAAGAAAGTAGGAAAAACCAGTAGGCCACTAGGTACGACCTAAATCAAATCCCTTATGATTATACAGTAGAGATGATGAACAGATTCAAGGGACTAGATCGATAAACAGAGTGCCTGCAGAACTATGGACAGAGGTTTGTGACACTGCACAGGAGGCGGTGACCAAAACCATCCCCAAGAAAAAGAAATGCAAGAAGGCAACGCTGTTGTCTGAGGAGGCCTTACAAAAGAAAAGATGTAAAAGGCAAAGGAGAAAGGGAACGGTATACCCAACTGAATGCAGAGTTCCAGAAAATAGCAAGGAGAAATAAGAAAGCCTTAAGTGAACAATGCAAAGAAATAGAGGAAAACAATAGAATGGGAAAGATTAGAGATCTCTTCAAGAAAATTAGAGATACCAAGGGAACATTTCATGCAAAGATGGGCACAATAAAGGACAGAAATGGTATGGACTTAACAGAAGCAGAAGGTATTAAGAAGAGGTGGCAAGAATACACAGAAGAACTGTACAAAAAAGATCTTCATGACCCAGATAACCATGATGGTGTGATCACTCACCTAGGGCCAGATATCCTGGAGTGTGAAGTCAAGTGGGCCTTAGGAAGCATTACTACAAACAAAGCTAGTGGAGGTGACAGAATTTCAGCTGAGCGATTTCAAATCCTAAAAGATGATGCTGTGAAAGTGCTGCACTCATCATGCCAGCAAATGTGGAAAACTTAGTAGTGGGCACAGGACAGGAAAAGGTCAGTTTTCATTCCAATCCCAAAGAAAGGCAACGCCAAAGAATGTTCAAATTACCATACAACTGTGCTCATTTCACATGCTAGCAAGATTCTCAAAATCCTTCAAGCCAGACTTCAACAGTACATGAACCAAGAACTT